TTTATTTTTTTTTGCCAGCAGGACAGAACACATCTGATTGGAAGTGTGATAATTAACAAGGACTTGTTAATTTTAACTTTTCACAAAGTTAATGTTGCTAAGGCCTTCCAATGCAGCAGCCTGCTTAACTCAGCAGATGTTTCCATAAATACAGTTTAGTACCAGATTTTGAAAAAGGGAGAGCTACAGTTAAGAACAGGATGTTGGTAAAGTGCAAGTATCCTTTTAATTTGTTGTTTTGCATGCCACCACAAAAAAACAATCTGACTAACTAGATTGTTTAAACAAATAGTTTCACATTAGGTTTTGGCTTATTATGCAGCATTTCATTGCATCACATTACAGGATTACACACACACACACACACACCCCCAATGTAATCAGATGAGCACAGTTAGAAATAAGCAGGGAAATTCAGGCTAGACTGGGCATAAAAGGGTTAGCACGATACAGTCGTACAAGAGGGACGTGCTGTGGACCAGCGCTGGGATGTACTGATGGAAGTAACCTTTTTGAGGTCGGTGGTAAGGGGGAGACTGGAAACATATCTGAATAAGCATGCCCAGGTCTCTCAGTTATTGGCAACCAAAACCGTCAGCCTCGGCGTGTGATTATTGCAAATCCGGTTGCAGCTCTGAAACAAGCAGGTGATTTCTGTGCTGCACGCCTTAGCAAAGGCACGGGCAGTGAAGGTCTTGAAGATACATAAGACTAAAGTGTGCAGGTCTGCTGGCAGCGTGGGGATGGTTTGGCTCTCATCTTATTCTTCCCAGGCCACCTGAGGAGCCTACTGCCGTTTGTAACACTACTGCTAAGGAGTACTTGAGCTTCACAAGTGTGGGAAGTGGGACTGTGACTAAGAGCTGGGGGGCAAAGCAGGTGCGATGGCTCCTCTCTCAGCCTCATTCTACAATCTCACCCAGAAAAAGTGGTTGGTTTTTCTTCCAGCGTGAGCACACACTACCCACAATACCGGGCCAGATCCAGTTGTTATTCTGGACTGTAGGGTGATGATACTCACTTTCTAGTGGCACTCTAACTTTATGTGGACAGCCTGAGAGACTGCGGTGGTGAGGGTACAGCCCAGTCACGTGCCCTGTGCCATCACATCCTGGGATGGGACATTTGGTTTCTCTCTTTTCAGGCCTGGGTGAATCTGCAGAGAAATCAGATAAGGATTTTGTTTGGTTTTAGCCCCTGTCTGCACTCAGCTGAGTTATCCTAGCAGCGTGATACTCTCTATTTTGTACTTCAGATGTAATTCCTACACGAAGTTTTAAGAGACGTATGCGATTTAAGCATCACTTTAGGTTTTCACAGTGTGTCCTTTAAACAACGGCTCCCCCCTCCCAATATGCCATTTATGTGCTAAACTATATAGCTTTAGGATTGCAGTGTCATTTATTCCATTCAGAGCCTCAAACAGGACAGAAGCCACAATCCAGTAAGCCAGAAAACTGGCAGCGTCAGCCAACAGCAAGATCTATAAAGGAATAAATAAAAAAAGCAGAAACAATCTTTTACTCTGTTAATGTCAGACTCCAGGAAGCTGGGACGACCAAATAAAAGCTGAGGTGTGAAACAAACAAACAAACAAACAAAAAAGCATTTCAACCAGAAGCCATTCCTTAAATATCGCAGATCTCTAGGCTGTAGGTTCTTTGTTAGGAAACTGAATACATGCCACTTTACATTTGAGAGGCAAGGCAAGCAGCTCCCTCTGGTACACATGGCAATGCCGCTTTGTGGAGCAGCCCACAATGACAGCGAAAACATGGAGCAGCCGATACCCTTTCAAAGGCGAGGTCTCAGCCCAGCCCTACAGCTACCACTCTGTAATGGCCGCAGTGCATTCCCAATTTTTGTTTCAAGCACCTAGAATTGTGCAAGAAGCACTGGTCAGAAAGCCTTTATTTGATTTCCAATGCAGGATCAAAAGTCTGGGCGAGAAAGGAATGAATTCTGGTCCAGAAATTCTCTTGTGAGAAATCTGGAGGAAGTGGCCGCATAAATTGCTGAGGATGGTTTTAGCTCCATCTGTGATTGGCTGCCAGCAGCATTCGGCGCTGGGGGAGAAAACAGCTGCAGCCAGCACAGGGAGCTGCCTCCTTCAAGCTCATTTTGTTGGACCGTGAGGTCGGGCGTGCTCAGGGACACGATCGCCAGAGACGGCTGAGGGTTAAACTTCCTGGCAAGGTGGTTTTAGGTCAAAAGAAAGAAAGAAAAAAAAAAAAAAAGGAAAAAAAAAATAGGGAGGAAAGAAAATAGACTGAGCACCAACAGGAGACCACCTGCTTTGTAGAATCGCTGCGAATGGAAAGTGCTGCAATAGTGGACAGAAAATAAAAAGGGACCCTGAAATATGATTTAATTCTTTCCCCACTAATTGGAAACGTTTATCATTAAAAAGATGAAAAAAATATAAATTTAAGCCATGTTTTTCTGATGTAGCATCCAAGAAAGAAAATTAAGAGCTGATGGGTTTGATGGCGGATATTTCAGAAATAAAGCCCAGTTAATTACGTAAAGTGAAAAAATTATGTGCCTAATACTACACTGACAAAAATCATATGATGTTTATACAACCTGAACAAAGCTTGTTCCTCCATGAGTGTTACCTCTGAACTCACCTACAAACTAGACCTAATGATAATATCAGGCAAATCAAGACGGGCCAAATTCTGCCATGCTTACCATCACTGCTCCTTCCTATGTGTGCTGTGAGAAAGTCACATTGACTCCAATGTGAACCTGGTGAACACAGGAACACAGCTGGTCTCAGGATAAGAAAAGGTATCTGTAAAATTCCTGCATATACCATAGTCATCTCAGCAAATAAAGATTCGCGTAGTTTAGCAAGGAGGTAGACTACCACCTTGCATGCACAGCTTAAGACATGCTAATGAAAAGACTGCTTGAGACAGAAAGGTGAGATGCATGCATATTCTTCCCAAATTGCAACTCCTAAAAAACATTGTCAGTTATCTTACACACTAAATGCTTTGGATAACTAAACTACTATAATATTTGCAATGTCCACAGGGACTACTCTAGTGTAACACTAGATATACCAAAGTAAATCATTTATCCAAAGCAGAAATTGCAGCAATGCTGGGATGATCTCAGTATATTTGGAAGCCCAAAAGGAAAAGTCAAAGGACAGATGAATGTATTGTTACTTACTACAGCAGGGAGTGTGCTTATAAAATGATGTCTCCTGATGTTCTGTAATTACCCTCAATTGAGGTGTTTCACATGAGGCAGCCCAGTTTACAAATCAAACCCAAATCTTTCAGATCTCCACTTCTGGAAGCCTGATTCGGTACTGAAAATGGAGCAATGTTCCTACAGCTTTGTAGGATGCCACAAACCATCAGAAACTATAAAGATTTTGGAACTTACTGGCAATTCTGCTGATGGTGAATGAGGCAGAAGAGCACGGCTTGTGCTTTCCTGGCTCAGAAGTGCTGGCTGTAGCTTAACGTAATGTTGATATGTGAAGTAGCCCGAACTCAGAAAACACATGGCTTAGGAATTAGGTGGCATGTTTGGAAAAGGCCAATTTTTCACCCTAACCTTTCCTTAAGCACTGTTTTAATGCCTTCTCTTTTGGCTGCCGAAATTTAGGAGGTACGTATTAGCGCCCTATGGAGGAGGAGGCGGAGGAGGAGGAAAAGGAGGAGAAGGAGTGTCAGTGCCAGCTACACAGCCCCTTTAGTAGCCATTACCGATCATTTCACATAGTGGTTTGGCAGGAAGCCAAGTACCTAGCGTTTAACCTGGTTAGATGTAAGGCACTAGTGTGAAGGTACATAATTAACAAAATTACCAGCTAAATTCCAGATTCTTTACTGTTGCTATAAAACCCAGCTCAGAATCCTCTATCAGTCACAGGATAAATGTTTAAGCCAGTAAGAACAGCCAAAAATGCTTCCTTACGTTTGTTGCTAAATATCTGTCTCCCACCAATGTCAATAACTTTGGTTTGTCTCCTTTCCCCTGCTAGATGCTCCAGGAGAAACCTATCCAGTTCCTTGTAGGTGCTGTGGAACACGTGCCCTTGCTCTGCCTGCAGAGCGATTGCTTGTTCTAGCAAACTCAAGTTCCCTTTTGTTTTGTCCAGCTCAACTGACGCTTCTGTGGTTTCTGACAGGCACTCGTTGTCGTCTTCTTCACTTTCAGGGAAGGGATTCTGAATTCTCTTCTCAAAAGGATCTGGGTGAGACTCCTGGGGGGCTCTTAGCTCTGTTTCTGAGTCACAAAGTGTTTCACAAGGGCCAAATTCTACCTCTTCCTTCTTAATTTCTGCGACTTCCAGGATGCTAGGTTGATTACACTCTACAATATACTTCTGAGTTGCATGGGGCTTTACACTGGTTTCTTCTGAGAAATTTGAGGAGCTGTCCCACTCGTTGTCCATAATTTCAGAGTTACTTTCATTTTCCTCAGACGAACAGTATTTTGGGTCAGAAATAACAGTTTTTTCCTTTCCTTCAGCTGAGTTAATCATGTAACATTCATCAGTGTCATCACTTTCTGTTTTTAAGGATTGAATGCCGCTATCATTTAGATTTTCTGCCACTGTTTGACTGGGTGCATCTTTTGATAATTTTCCCATGTTCATCAAAGATTTGGCCATGGCATCTTGATAGCTGGAGTAGTTATCTTTTCTTTGACTGGAATTTTCTTGCCCACCTGAATGAGGGTTTTCCTCAGATGATTTTGGAGTACTTTCCTCTGCATGAAAAAGAAAAAAAAAAGAGAAAAAAAAAGAGAGAACAATATGTAAGAGTAACTGCTTTTTGTATCTTGTAGAAGTGATATGAAGATATTTACTTACCAATCTCCATTTCTTTACTCAAAGGTACTCTGAAATGATTGAATTCACCAAGGCTGTGTTTGAAACGACTGCTTGTAGCATCAGGAAAAGCCCTTCTAAGATTATGTCTATATTATAGCTCCAAAGCTATATGAGAAATAAATATGTTGCCATTTTTCACTGATGGTGAAGACATATGTTATCTTAGAACATACACACATTCATATAAATATAATGTGCCATATATAGATAGATGCTTTGTATATACACACAATATAGATAATATATGCATATATATACAAGCACACACACACATTTTAGAATTCCTGTGATCTATTTTTACTTTTCTTTCATCTAAGATTCCCAAATATTTTCCCAAAATAGACCCTAATTACTTTTCCAGTCACCCCAGATCCCATGAAAGACCTTGATAGAAAAAAACCTCAATACTGCACAAAGGGCAAGCTCCTGGTCACCATTGCAATTGCCACATTAAGTGATAGATCAGGTCATGCACAGGCAAACAGAAATGGTTGTTATGTACAGACTCATAAAGGACTTGTTAAAGACACCACTGAAGTGCATCCTGTCTTTATAAACATCTTTCTTCAGAAGAAAAGCAGCAGCCAGCAGGTAATAGAGGCTGCATGTAGGAGAGGTTGTCGGTGTGGAAGACAATATGCCTTTTGTATCTCATTTAATTTTTTATAAACATTTCCTCTGACAAGGACACTCAAAAATACATCTCCATCATCTTCCTTTCTGGTAATTATCTCTCTAAAATCAACACTGGTTTGCCAGGATCAAGTAAATATTGCCATAGTAACTAAAAGCATTTTTGGATGAAGGGAAGAATTTAGTCACAACACTAGCCCCTTCAATAATGCTGATTATAGGGTACATTCTTTTGTTGGGATCTATTCAACATAAACTGAAAAATTTAACATTTTACTTCCTAGAAAGGAGGATGAATAAACAAGCACAGACTATTTCATAAGATGTGTCTGTCCTCTCCTGAATCAGAACTCCAGGTTTAAATAATAAATTAAGCATAGTCTAAAATGCAAATGAAGTTTCTCTCAATAACACAGTGAGCTATTAAGAGAAAGTGTAAAGGGTTATGATAATTTTAAAGTATTATGAACTACAGAAAACAAATAAAAAGCATTTTCAGTGAATATGTCCAATTCATTGAACTATTCTCTCAATCCACTTAACTACCCACATGTGTACAATAATGATTTATAGACATTATACCTAATTATGCATATTTGGGCTGTGTTAGAGTGCCTAACAAAAGCTCTAGAAAGCAACAATTACCTCTGTTGCTTAGCTACATAGTTTAAAATATTCCTATTAAGTGCAGATTATTGTGGAGGGGAAAAGGGGGACAAAAATGCACATGTGCACCACAATGCATTTCACTTTACTGCTGCCAAACTGTTAGCATTTTGGGTCATTTCCAGTTTACATAATTGTTTGGTTCAACTGTTTGTTATATGCTAAAAGAAAATATTGATTAATTCTTATTCTTCTTCAGAAAATTGGACGCATGCAGGGAGAGGTGGCCTTGTGCACTGTGTGCATAAAGTTGTGTTTAAAAAAAAAATGCCTGTAAACCTTAGTGTAACTTTTTAGCAGCTGGTCTAGTACCACACACATTGCAGTATTCTGAATAAAGAAGTCTGCTGTCTTTTCACATCTCAGCAAGTAAGAATGATGATTTGGCTCTACAACTAACTTTAGTCAAACGGGGTATTATTATTTGCTCTTCTGCCATTTGGAAAAAACCAAAATCCCATCAGTGGGTCATTTCAAAAAGTAAGAAGTTCTAGTTTTAAAAGAAATCTCCCGCCCTTCAAAACAAAACAAACGAAACAAAAATTGCTAATAGTAACAGGTCTTTTCAGTTATTTTTCTGTGTGAAAGTTGAAAAAATAATACAAATGCATAATAGCAGATTTTTGCTTCTTAAATTATCAGCAATTTTTAAATGTAATGTTTAAAAACTTGTTGTTGAACCAGTCTTAATGGTTCAGCTGTCCCAGCTTTGCTTTTCACTTCCACAGGCTGTAAATTTACTTTAAAAATAATAAAAACTCAGCTTAGTTTACACTTGCATCAATCCATGAACTGAAGCATTAACCAATCAACTAACAAGAATCATGAGTTTATAATAAAATGAGCAATATTACTCTAAGAAATTACAAATAAACCTACATACCCAGATCAGCTGTATGCTTAAGCTTAAATTTGTTTTGTAGCTGGAAAAATTAATGCAAAAGGGACAGGTTGCATTATCACTGACACAAGCAGGTGTGTGTGTGAGAGGAGAAATCTCAATGGTATGAAATATATCTTTTTGAATTAAGGTGACTTTTTGCTTTTGACTGAAGGGCTAGGTGCAAATAGGTTCACCTACATTTATATCACTGGACCTGGCCCAACACTTGCCTTTTCTTAGAGAAAAAAGAACCAGTTAGATAACTTAGATTCATCTGTATATGGCATAAGTTCTACCTTTACACCCATCACATTGCTTTTCCTTCAGCAAGGTCTTCAAGCTGTGCAGAGGACAGACAAAAGGGAAAGAAAAACACATGATGGTGGGCAGCTCTGGATGGCCAGGAACCAGGCTGAATCAATACAAGAAAAAATAGCTAAAATCGATGTATCTCAAAAAAACACCCCAAAATCCCCAAACAAACAAACTAAAAAAAAAATCCCAACAACAAAACCATACAAGAACCCTTACTCAAACAGCTTCCCTTCAGATTTCTGGTGTTAGGAGATGGAAATATTCCTTGCAGGCTGGAGAGGCACTGAGAACCATGGAGCTTTTTTCTTAATGAATTTAGCTTAGTAATGTCACCCAAAAGACAGAGACATTGGGTATCACCTGGTTAATTAACGTTGTTTGAAGGGAGAGCTCCTTTCTAGGCTTTCACACTGATGGGATGCAGACCCCCTGGAAGAGACTCCTAGAAGACTTATGAGTGACAACTGGCTGAAATCTTTGCTGTATAGAAATAACGCAAAGACCTCCACTGATTTTGGTAGAACCAGGATTTGACTCTCTAGTCTGAAAGGCAGCCACCTTCTTCTGTTTGTTTTATAGTGTCCATATATATAAAATTTGGGAACTTTATTTTGTTTTAAGGAAATTCTATTTGGAGTGAATAGAGATATAAATTCCTAATTTATATCAGTTTATTCAGTTCATCACAGAATCATAAAACAGTCCAGGTTGGAAGGGACCTTGAAAGATTATCTGGTCCAACTTTTTGTGGGAGAGGGAGCCTAGATGAGATTATCTAGCATGCTGTCCTTCCAAAATATTCAAGAAATTGGTACACGAAACTGAGTGTAAAACAAATTACTTTTAAACTCCTGTAGCAACCAGCAACTGTGCGGAATATAAGTTCATTCTGTTTTCATAGTATCTATAATAACTAATTTCCCAGGGTCAGATCACGTTGCTTTTTTCTTGACCTTTGCTATCTAATGATGACTCTTCCCTTTAAAACAAATGCAGAATGTATTCCACTGATTTCTTCTCACTTGCCCGATCAAGAGCTTGTGCAGGACTTCTTAAACAAATATGTGACAGCCAATTTAGTTTGATATTCTTTGTTCATCTTGAATATATATAAACATATATTAGAAAGAAAGAGCAATAAAGACAGACTGTAGCTATACCTTTCTGTCCGCCCATCCTCTTTCATATTTTGCAGCATACATGTTGTAGAAGTTTCTATAAATTGTTGGATATGTTTGGCTTAGCAGAGTTGGAATAACAAGTACAAAAGTGCTGAGTCTAATAATCGTGTTAAACAGAACACTCGTAGCAGCCACATGCATGAAATTGCTAAATGTTAAAGTCAACAATGTTTTGCTAAGCGGTTGGTTTTGGTTTTTTTTTTCCCTTCCTAAGAGCTCTATATATTTCAGTGAAAATCTGCTCTTCATAATTTTTTTTTTTTTTTTTTCTCAGTGGTGGGCTTAACCTTGTTCTTTGACAGAGCTAGTGGAGAAGCAGATGCTGCTCCATATCTGACCTGCTGCAGTAGTTGTCTCTCTGTATGACCTACAAAGCATTTAAGAGACTCCAGGAGGAGTTATTCTACGAAACAATTAGAAGTATGATGGTTAAACCTAGACAGAAATACACCATTCCAACTCTGTTAGAAGTCAAACACATTTTGCATCCTTATTGAAAATACTGCTTCATATCTCCCTTCCTGTGGAATTCAGGTTCAAGCGGAACCACACTGCACAACTACCTGGAGTTGAGCTGCTTTCGAGGACACTGAACTCTTCCTGTAAATCCATCCTGTCTTCATTTTCTTCTTTGCATTCTAAGCTGGGGCTGTAGTGACGGGGTTTCATTAGCAGGGACTTCCTTTTGTTGACAGGAACGCCTGATAGCTGCTCTTCAGCTTTTCTCTTCTTAGCCATGGAGCATTTGTAGGCGCTGCAATGATCCATAGGCAATGATGGAGAAAAAAGTGGGAGAAGTGAGAAGTAAATTGTTTAAAAAACAGCACCATCCTCTAGTTTAATTCTAAATATAAAAGTGAGAACTGACAAAATATTAATTCACTTGCAGTTTCAGCAAGTTTTGTTTTGTGGATATTTAATTTTAGCTCGTACTCGAAGTTCAGGACTCGGGGAAGTCCCATTTCTTTTCACTTCTGCCAATATCTGTTTAGGGGAAGGGGAATGAGGAGGAAAACAAAACCAAATATCCCACAACTCAATATCCTTAATCCTAAGTAAGCATATGCTAATCTAAACCCTTCTATACAGTAAAATAAATACACCCAGGAAAGGATGAACAAAATTGTAGTCTGGGTTGATAATCCAGAGAAACAACTAAGGAGAAAATACACCGCCAGTTAGTCTACAACACCCTGCGCCTTTGGCTCCATTACCTTTACATCAGTATGGATATCCAATCACGCACCTTGAGTTCAACAGCACAAAACTTGTGTGAAACACACTGTACCTTCAGAACGTTTTGCAATACTCTTTCAATATTGGCCTGAAGTGTTGATTTCATTTCATTAACTCCAGCCATAAATGCCTCGTTTAAGCTCTTCCCAGGTCTCTGTATAGACTCTGGAAAAAGGCTCCTCCAAAGGGCAATTCATGCCACTTAAAACTAGATCTGTCTGATAAACAGGGTGAGCCGTCCCCTGGGAAAGGCCTTACCCAGAGGAAGACTTTTAGCAGATTTGATATACTTCTTTCAACTCCTGTAAAATCCACATATTGACCTGCATATTAATTTGCTTCTACAGATATTTAGCAAAGCCTTTGCTGCCATACAGTTGATCTGTATGGCATATAGATGTTACATCATACAACAACTCACTACAGGCCTGAACTGTCAATCTTTTTTTAATAACTTTTTGTGTAAGTGATTTGGCATGATTTCATTGTTCTCTCTCACACAGCATTCTAAGAAATTTATGTAGTATGCATAATAGTGCTCATGTTATATCTGTCAGAGATGAAAAAACTACATATATGAATCTGTGTAATCCACTCAATGGTTTCTCGACCTTAAGCACCCCCAGGGTGCATTACAAATCTACACGATGCCCTTAGGTGTTGGATTTTGTATTTGGCTCACTGACTTAGCTGCAAGATTTGCAAAAAATCCATGTATGCAGGGAACTCTTATTGGTTACACATATTAGAAGCTAAACAACATAAATTAATCCTTCCAAGGTATCTTATGTGCACTAAATTGGCTCAGGTTCTGATTATTTTGGATGAAAGCATATGACTAACTTGAGCTTTTTGTTAAAAAAAATACCCATTTTTGGCTAAGCACCTTTTTGGCAATCTATCATTGCAAACATGAAGGACATGGAAATGTGAAGATCTGCATTTTAGGGAGAATGTTAAAATTCTACCATATGCATCTTAAACACAGTGGATATTCTTGATCTTCTGAAAGCTAAAAAGCTACGGGCATCAGGAATACTGGACACTAAACACCTGCTGTAGTTGAATATATTATGTCTTCTCTGTTATTTCTCTGTTTATGAATAGAAGACAACAGGAATATCATATTAAAAGTCAGAATCACAATGGTATAAGCGTCCCCTTGGAAATGATGCCCATATAACAGACATCAGGGATGGATGTAGTGCGGACAAATATGCACAATTTATTTCTAAGAAAATACAATCAATAGTTTCTTAATTCGTATTTGTGAATGGCAGCTGTCATGTTTTAACCCATCAGGCAGCTAAAACAACCACACAGCTGTTTGCTCACTCCCCCCGCCCCCGACAGTGGGATGGGGGAGAGAAAAAAAGAAACGGATAAAACTTGTGAGTTGAGATAAAGACAGTTTAACAGGACAGAAAAGGAAGATGATGATGATGATAACAATAATAATAACAACAATCATCATCATCAACACATGTGATGCACAGCACAATTGCTCACCACCTGGAGTTGGAGCTCAGCTAGTTCCTGAGCCACGCTGCCTCCAAGCCAACTCCCAGTTATATACAGAGCATGACGTCATATGGTATGGAATTTCCCTTTGGCCAGTTTGGATCAGCTGCCCTGGCTGCAACCCCTCCCAGCTTCTTGGGCATGCCTCACTTTCTTGTTGGCAGGGCAGTATTGAGAAGCTGAAAAGTCCTTGACTACTTGGCAACAACTAAAATATTGGTATGTTATCAACATCTTTCTTACCCTAAATCCAAAACATAGCACTATACTAGCTGCTAGGAAGAAAATTAACTCTATCTTAAGTGAACCAGAACACCATCATTTTAAAATAAGTGAATACATGAGATTCAACTTTAAGTAAAATAATTTCTGATGCCTTCCACGCTGATTACAGGAAGATGACAAAACACAGTTGCTCCTTTGCTAGGAAGTGCAAATTGTTCTCCATAGGCCAGGAAGATATGTTTCAACTCCAGCAGAATATACTCTTGCTTTTGCTGGTAACTTTTTACACTGCTGGTTTTTGAGTTTTAACTGGAATCTATTAGTTTACAAGAGCCAGTTTAAAGATCTGCCGTGCTCCAGCAATTCCTCTTCTCTTCTACCTTGCAGTGCTTAAAAGTAAAAATGAACAGAAAACGAGAAAAACAACTTCACAAGTGGTAGCTTTTCCAAATACTTACACATGATTTCTTAAGTATTTGATAATGGACTTTGGGAATTTAACTACTATGAAAAGAATATATTTATGCCTTTGTAACATTCATGGCATGTCAATTTCACCTTTGTTTTAAAAAGTTTCTATTTCTCTCTTTTGCTAATGTATGTTCACACATACACACACATACGTTAGTACAGATTTGTCAAGCTGTAGTTTGTCAAATGGTAAACCTATAATTTAGCTTCTCTATTACTCATCTCATAAATTCAACGTCTAATAGTTTTGTTGCTATTTATCAATGGCCTGCTTGTTGTCATGGAACACTGATTCAGCTGTCAAGGTTATTTGGTAATCTGAGGCTCATAAAACAGGAGAAGCTCTTTTTGTTATGAGTCCAAAGGAAATACATGGTTTTTTTTCCCAATTTAATTGTACTTAAAGTTTATGAATTATAAATCATTTTAGTACTATCTATAATGAGCAGATTTTTTATATTATTTGTTCAGTCAATGACTTAGTTACCAAAACCAGTCCTGTGTCAGTTATCATAGTGTGAACCAAGAGGTTAAAATCTAAGACATATAAGACCTGATTGCATGTGTTGGAAAAAAACCCCCATGATAAATCTTTCATATGTATTTCACACCTAAATACTTTTTTTTTTTTTTTTTTTTTACTTTTTAAATTTTAATAGGTCCTTCTCTTTCCTTTATTTCTTCTCAGAATATATCTTGGATGGTGTGGGCAGACACTGGTAGCATACAGGCAGAACAGTGTTTTGAGCCCCACCACAAAGCAATGCCTCAGAAGAAAGAGAGAGGTTTTAAGCAGTTCTAACAACATAAAGCTTTTCCTACTGCTGAAAATTGTCATGCTTGTCTTTTTTTGTAATTGGTTCATTTAAGTGATGTGTTTGTCAAGCCTTTAACCTGACCTTTAACCACTTTGTAGCCAGCGAGGATTTTTTTGTTGTTAATCTATTGGCAAGACTTCCAGATCTCTGGGATTTTTTTCTTATTCACAGCAGCCTGGTGGTTGGTAAAGCATGATAACAGAGCTAAGAATTGCCATAGTGGGTAAAACCAGGGGTACATTTAGCCTGGCAACTGGTATTTACTAATGCCTGTAATGGATGCCATATAAAATAATAAGAACAGAACACACTGCATCTCATGTATACTCCTTAGCTTCAAGAAAGAAAATAAATGTCTTTGAATATCAAAGCATGTACATTTATTGTCTAAAGCTATTTAAGGAGCCCCCTCCTCATGTCAGTTTGTGCAAGAATAATTAGTGGAACATTTTAGTTTGTGGAGAAAATGATTTTAAATTTTTAACCTGAATTGCCTTTTGACTATACTACAAAAGTAAGTGTTAGATGATTGAATTACAATTAAAGGAAGCATCATCTTCTGATCTATAGAACCATTTAACTTCACACCAGTAGTTAAAGGGAGAAGGTTAGCCTAACTACTCCTTAATCATATTGTGAGTAAAGACATTGCCTCCCGCTTTATGCCTTGATAAGGCTTTGTTCACAAACTTGCAGATGCCATAGGACACTATGTAAGTCAAATAATACTACATTTTCCTTACAGGAGGGAAAAGTTGATCTTCAAAGACTCAGGGACACTTGCCATTCACAGATGGACCAGTAGCTTACTGGTCAATGTCTGTCATGGTCAGGCTTTCTTCTAAGAATTTTAAGATTGTACTGAATCAGAGGTACCGAAAAGGAACAAACATTCTGAATGTCTCCCCACCTTAGTCCTCTTCTATGTCTGCTAGTTCTCCAAGAAACAGATGAACTGAATTCTGTCTAACTTTCTAGCACAATGGCTTCCAAAGGTTTAGGCAATAGCTGAAAGTATCTGATCCCCCAAAATCACACAAAAATCCTGAGCTCCTCATAAGCCGATGATGAACAGGAGAAATTACTAGCACTGGATACAGAAAGGGGATGATTTGCTCCTTTTATGGATCACATGTCTGTTTAAATGACATTGACATTGTTGTTTACATCAACCATGAACGCTGAAGGTTCATGAAAGGTGCTGGAATTCCAGAGTCCAAAGTAAGAGAGTGTTGGTTAGTTGATCATTGCAATTGAGAACCCAAATCAGTCCTGTTAATTACAGCAACTTCAGATGAACAGCAGTGGTTGGGAGGAAGGTGGAAAGTAACTGTGACTCAGTTGTTTACTTTGTCTTCAGGTTAAGACAGTCAGATTTATGTTCCATTTCCTTAAATAACCATTGTTGTTTGCAAAGAGTGCATGTAAATTTTATAGCTCAGTGGAAACGAGAGTGATAGTGTTCTCACCTCAGGTTGCTCTA